CCTTTAGTCAAATGATGGTTTTTGGAGAGCTTATAGAATTCTGTGAGAGCTAGTGATTTTCTCTTTAGGGCTGCCGGTTGTTAACTCTAACAGATAGCAGTTGCTCTCATACCAGTTTTCAAATGCCCCCTACTGTTATACCCTTGATGATCTATTAATTTATTACAATAGGATTGGTCCTAGGTTGTCAAAACCGTCAGATTTAAATTTAATTGAGTTTTTGGTATCTAGGGCCTGGTTTAAATTAATTGGCTAAATTCAAAAACCTGTTATCTTGGTAAAAATTCTGCTTTGCCTGCTAACATTTTAGCCTTTGGAACAATGTTTCAATTTCAAGAACTCTCTGTGCATCTACTGCTGCCTGCAGACATTTTAAAATAATCTCCAAGTACTCTACCCAACTTCACAACAGAGAGCTGGCACAGACACAGTAGACTAAATGGCCTTATTCTGTGTGTGATTATGTGACAATGCAGTGAGCTGTGTTCTCAATACTATTGACAGTGAAATTTCAGAACCAGGGACATTGACATCCCTAACAAATGTTTCTTTCTTCAACAAAAAAATAACATTACCTTGGTTCTCATTTAAAAGTGTTGTAAGTTTTACTGGTCATAATATATGATTTATAAGTGATACTGTGATATGATATGATATGATAAGAAATGAAGCTGCAAATAGAATTTAAATCCAGTATGGCAACATTCAGCTGCATTCTTTTGATGTATTCCCAATGTTGTAAAGTTTAAATATTTCTACCACTATAAAAGTGTCAGAAATGTAATAACTCACATTTGAAGTGTTGCAACAAGTTTCTCACTTTTTGTTATTTGTCAGTGCCTGTTACCAACACAGTGAAGGTGATAGGATCTCCTCTCTTTGTAGAAGAAGCAACTTATTCATTTGGATGAGATCCAAGAACTGTTGTCTGATCCATTTCATGTTAACTTGGAGTTGTCTGGTCTACAATGATATTGTTGTATCAGTAAATGTATCTATTTTCTTTCAATCTATTTAATAATATCAAATTTGAGGTTTTGCGTCAGATCTATCTGGGATACATATTTTTTTTCTGTTAGGTAAAGGTATTAAAGGATATGGCCCAAAGGTAGGTATATGGAGTTAGGCTGCAGATCAACATGATCTCACTGATTGGCAGAACAGGCTTGAGGGACTGAATGGCTGTAAGCATTCATTATAGCCATGTGTCCATACCTCTAGTAGTCTGGTGTGCAGATGAAGCTTAACACGAGCCTGTGTTGCAGACTGGTGATACTTACTTCAGCTAGTATACAAATGCAAAACAATTTCATAATGCAACTTCTCTGCATAAACACCACAGTCCCAGACTGAAACAATTCAATGAAGCAACTTTGTATGTGAGAGAAATGGGTAGAGCTTTGGAAATAAATGAACTAAAGACAAGAACAGTATGTGGACAGTTGTCTGTCTATTGTACTCCATGCAACATTCTGACCTGAATATCCATGCACAATTGAATTCTGTTTAAGCCTATGCCTGCTCAATAACTTTCTCACATGCCTTCATAAAGTGGAGGCAAGTTGAAGAGTTATAATTTGAAGATCCGCAGCAGCAAAGTGCAATTACTTTCTTTCTGACTCAATAACTGATTCACATAATTTTTTGCCCATTAATACAATTGATGTTGAAGTGTAACAGCTGAAAAATTAATACGAGTAGCATGTGTAAATTCTAAATGGAAAGGCACTTTGAATAATTTGGATACTGATCATTATGAGACAGAAAATTGACATGCTAGCTTGATTAACTTGAATGCACTTTCAATATTAGCCAAAAATCCATAAGTCTCTCCTAAGAAGGAGGAATGTCTGAGAATTCAATAGCAGGGAATAAATCTGTATAGTTGTATAAACAATGAACACAAGTATATAATTTCAACTATATTAATCTGTGACATGTCACGACGTTCTAAACATGGTGTACTAAAAAATTTTATATTGAAAAGGATGATCACCATATATTCTCAATGAGTAGGGAAGTGCATGAAGTAGAAATTCTGGCCTCATGTCTAATTTATGGGCCAAATCTTACAAGCGCTGCAAAACATGGGGCTATGTCAAGAAATCTGAGAGTATCGCATGAGAATTCAAGTAAGGCCTTTTGTTATGGACCAGACCAAATCCCCTCAAAATATTCAGAGGATAGTCTAGACCCTAATATTTTCTTACTTTAAAGGTACGTTGCATTCCGCACGCAATTCAATTGGTCAGACTACCAGATTTAAAGCAAAACACAATTTATTCATCCATTATAATTAAAGTACAATAAACGAAAGAAGGAATTGGAATAACATAACAGTATTGGAAAAAAAACAGAATAATAGATATAGTAACTATTAATAATTAACTGTTCTAATATTGTAGCATCCCATAAATACACCCTTGGCAAAAGGCAAACTCAGAAAACAGATTGTCTCACATGCAACTCCAGAATGGGAAGAGATCTTCAAGCTTTTGGCTGTAACTGAGAGGGGGGAAAAAATAGCTTCTTCTTCTTCAAGACCCCAACAAAAACTGTTGAAAGTTAAAACTAAAAATCCTGATTCTGTGGAGTTTGACCACATCCATTCAGGCTGCTTCTGTTGTTGGAATTTTCAAAAATAAAAAGGTCTCAGAAGTTGTTTACTGTACTGGCTCTGGCAGACTGCACATTATCTCTGCCTTAAAACCTCTCTTCAAAAAAAAAGGACAAAATACACTCTGAAAGCTACAATATCATCACGCTTTTTTGACATTGAAAGCAACAAGTCATACTTTCCAACAGAATTCTGGATGTCTAGATGAGAATCTCACTACTGAGTGGGAAACAAATATTAACAAGGATTGCTGCCCATTATCACCCTTCATAACTACATAATCTTTAAATCACTAATATGCAGGTTCTAATTCTACCACTGCTGATGAGAAAGTAGACGATGAGACTTCTTGACATGAAAATTTAAATAATAACCTGTGACTCCAGTTTTCACTTGCTCCTCCAGACCATTATTTGGAAATCCAACACCAAGGTCTCATGGCACATACCAGCACAGCAGCCAGACTTACCCTAGATCCACAGATACTAGCATTCAACATGTACAAGCCAATCCCCACCCTCGTGGCACATCTCCGATTCACTTACAGTACGCTTCTGCACTTTAATGCTGCACTTTGGGAGCACAGTGGCAGCTCTCATTACAAGGCTGATGCAAGAACACTTTCTATGCAGGGACAGGTACACAGCTCATGGATTGGACCAGGCATCTCAGTGCTGCTGCTTTGTTAGAGCTCATGGATATGGTGCCTACCTGGAAGCTTACAGCATTCCTGTCTTACCTTGCCTTTTTATGCTTTGAGCTTAAAGACTTACAGCACTGATGCATTGTTATATTTCAGTTTTGTGCAGACCCAAAGGCAGCCAGCTTGTCACGCTGGTCAGTAGTCATCAGTCAAGACAACAATACAATGCTTCGTCACTCTTACTTCTGCATATGTGCCAGCAACTTAAGCAGTAAACACACTTCATGTGTTTTAAGCAAAGAACCATGTCTCCACATCTAAGGGGAGTAGTCCTCAATGAAGTCCAGGGAGACATTTGCCAGTCAGGGAACTTGATCCAGTAAGTCAAGGGCAACCTCTCATATCAATCCACGGGGGGAGGTAGTGTTGGTCAACCATTCGGGGCAGTAAGGGTCAGGGTCCTCTCCTCCCTGTTGCACACTGTTTTCTCCTCAAAAGAGACAAAGGGAAGGATTAAATAAGTGGCACAGCAATAAATGCTCGTGCTGTGAGGGAGAGGTGGTGAAATGCCGCGAGTGAGAGTATCATAGAATCATAGAATCCCTACAGTGTGGAAACAGGCCCTTTGGCCCAACAAATCCACACTGACCCTTGGAGCATCCCACCCAGACCATCCCCCTATAACCCACCTAATCTACAGACCCCTGAACACTACAGGCAATTTAGCATGGCCAATCCACCTAACCTGCACATCTTTGGACTGTGGGAGGAAACCGGAGTACCCGGAGGACACCCACACAGACAGGGGAAGAATGTGCAAACTCCACACAGACAGTCGCCCGAGGGTGGAATTGAACCTGGGTCCCTGGCGCTGAGAGGCAGCAGTGCTAACCACTGAGTAGGTAGTGCAGAGGCCATGCAGGGTTAGTCATGTAAGGATTTGATGGGTGAGAGTGAGCAAAGGACAATGTTGCATGCAATAGCAGGAGTGGTAGGGCATGAGCCTTGGTTGAAGATTTGTGCAGCACATAAAGTGAGTGATTGTGAGGTAGCAGAGAGAATATAGTGACTCATATCCTGGCAGAGTGATAAAGTCATTGCTTTCTCCCTCAGTGCTAAGCATTCATTTGGATGACTAAGAATTCACTGATCTGGGTGGCAATCTTGGACCAGACTGGTAAGGTCTAGTATTATGGTCTCCACTGCTTGTCCTGAGGGAAGAGGGTGGCCCATATCTGTATTACCCCAATCCAACAGGTCCCTGTCCACTAAAAGGAGCACCAATTTCTCTTTTTGCAAGTCCAGGGCAAATGCCGCAAATTGTGCAGTGCAGCTCCAGACAGACAGTGCTTGACTGGATGCACAACTTTGTCTTAAACATGGTGCCATCACCAGGAACCATGGGAGTGTTCCTACTTGTGGGCCACGAGGCCTGGATTCAAATTCCGTCTGCTCTAAAGGTGTGCCAAAGATCACATCGAAATAGGTTGCTTCAAAATATCTACAATAAGGATTGGTGCAGAAGCATTTTAGCTGCTTTTTCTGACTATTTGAATTAAATGCCTTTTAATAATATGCTGTACACAATGAACAAAACATTCCGTTATATGCATGGTTTCCTTGTTTATGTTGCTTTTATTTTAAAATAGTATTTAAGGTTCATTGTAATTTAAAGATAAATGTTCAATCCTTCAATTTTTAATACTTCTACTAACAAACTGTTCTTTTCTTTTTTCAAAGGAAGGATCATAACTGAGAAGATCAAAGGAACAGTTGTACCACATATAATTTACAACTAATAAAATGGCTGAGAGGGTAAATCATCTATCTTATTTCTATGGCAGCATCACACGAGATGAAGCGGAGGACTTTCTGAAGCAGGCTGGAATGGCCAACGGCCTCTACCTTTTGCGTCAGAGTCGCAACTACCTTGGGGGCTTTGCTTTGAGTGTGGCATACAATGGAAAGTGTTATCACTACACAATAGAAAAAGAATTGAGTGGAAGTTATCTCATAACTGGAGGAAAGTCCCACAAGAGTCCAGTAGATATTGTCGAGTACCATACTGAAGAGACTGATGGTCTTGTCTGTCTTCTGAAAAATCCATGCAATCGACCAAGAGGAATTGAACCAAAAATTGGGCCATTTGAAGACCTGAAAGACCATTTGATCAGGGAATATGTTCAACAAACATGGAACCTACAGGTAATAAAGACAACTTAAGTTATTTTTAAACAGATGTATCTGCATTGTGTACTGTATTAGAATTAAGTGGTAGAGTGAGTCTCAAAGATTTAGCACAGGATGGAGTGTAACCACTGGAGACAACCTTGTGAGTACAGTCAAAAGGTTTATACTATTTGATCAGCTACACTTGACCTTTTACATTTTACACTCTAATCATATTAATGGTGGGTGGATAATGCTCAGCTCATCCTATCCTCTCATCCAGAGAAAGAGTAGTTAAGTGTCTTGCAAAGAAAGAGAAATAAAGGAAATGAGGTATGGTCATTTCCAATCCACCACACCAGAGGATCATATAAATCTGGAACAGAGCAGAACACCAACGCTTCGATTACAGGTCACATTTATGATATTGCCTAGAATGGTAACGAAACGTCTGATCACCACGGAACAATCAGCTCAGTGAGCTAATGAACAACTGCAGACTCTAGAATTAGGGGTTACTATTTAAAAAAAAGGTCATCCATTTGAGGAGAGAAGTTAAGCAAATTTTGTTCTCTCAGAGGGTAATGAATCTTTAGAACTTTCTTTCTCAAAAGGTAGTGGAAGCAAAGACTTTGGATATTTTCAAAGTAGAGGTAGATAGATTGTTGGTAAGCTTGATTATTGGCAAACAGGGTGGTGAAAGGCTATGGGGGAGGAAGGAAGAGTTAAGGTTATAGTCAGATCAGCAATGATCTCAGCAAATGGTGGAGCAAGCTCAAGGAGCCAAATGGTCTATGCATGCTCCTAACTCGTACGCTTGTATGTTCATAGCGCTCTATCTTAAGGTGTCTATTGGATGCAACTGTTTTGTAACTAGTGATTTGTATTCAGGGCGAATAGGTATATGAATTGATGGCACATATAAAAAGTCCTAAACCTACTAAAATATGTTAATTTAAGCGAGATCAGTGGCACTGTTTCATATATTAGAAAACTTCATTACAAAAAGAAATAGTGATAGAAGATTGGTTTCTATGTTTCTTATATTTTAAATGAGTGATAGAAGAACTCTATGGGGCTATAGACGAAGTAGCTAACATCAGTGGTCGGAAAGATTTCTGAATGACGGATGTAAAAGAAAAACATCTGTAAATGTACTGAAATCTAATAAAATTGTTCCAGCATTAAAGATTTGTACAAGCACATGTCAAACCTCTCACTTTGAGCAGCACTTGTTAACAGACTGTACATGATAGTCAAATGACAGAACAAACTATTCTGTGCTGTGCACGTACCACCATTTTAGCAGTTAAACTGGATCTTTACAACAATATAATTAACATGGCCTCCAAAAGGACAGGTTATGATTGCAAAATCTTATTGAATTCATGGAAAATAAAAGAAAGATACATAAAGAAAGAAAATACATAAAGATAATGTAATGGATATAATGGGTTAAATTTTAATCTAAAGTAATGTCATTTTGGGGATATGTATGAAGTTAAAATCTGATAAGCTTGTTTCCTCATACAAATATGGCTCTTTACTATCTGTTTATGGCTTTAATAGACATCCAGTTTGTAGAGCAAGGGCATGTGACAAAATGTAGGAAGGCATGAATACCTTTGCAGAACGGGGAGATAATTAGCAAATGAACATCAATATAGGTAAGATTGGACTCATACATTTTAGTGGGGGGAATAAGGAAGCTACAAACTCCTTGGAAAATTAGGCCAGGAATTTTACCCCCAAGATGAATAGCATGAGTTGTAAAATTTCAGCATCATTTACATTCTGGGGGCATGGGTGTGGGATGGAATTAGATTTACTACCTTCAGGCACAGATTAAAGGCAGCCACTGAGGCTGCCAAGTGCTCAGACAGGTGGATTAAAAGGTCTTTCTATGTTCTATGGGAATTTGTTCCAGGTAGTTGCTCATGTTTTAGGCCTCAGCCCTCACACACCTTCACCCAACGTCCTCCTTCCCACCATGCCACATTCATGGAGAGGGCACATCCCAAGTCACCCCCCCATTGCCCCACATACCTTCCTTATGCCCCTCACTCATCCTTAATGACTACTTATAGCGTGCCAACTCTTGTCAACCCATAGTTTGCCCTAACATCCACCTAGTGGTCTTTCAGTACTCACCATGGACAGATCAGAAGCCACTTTGAATGAAACAAAGGAAAGTTTTCTTTTAACTTCTAGAGGACATTCAACCCATCAGGTCTGCACCAACCCTCTTAAAAACCAGCCTGCCCGCCCTATGCCCATAACCCTGCATATGCTATTACTAATCTACCTAGCCTGCACATCCCTAGACACAATGGTGCAATTTAGCATCACCAATCCATCTAACCTGCACACTTTTGGACTGTGGGAGAAAACCAGAGAACCCGGCAGAAACCCACACAGACACTGGGAGAACATGTAAACTCCGCACACCTGGTGGCCCAAGGCTGGAATTCAGCCAAGGTCCCTGGTGCTGTGAGGCAGCAGTGCTAACCACTGAGCCCAAAGTTCTAAGTATCTATTACAGCCTTCGCTAAATAAAAGACCCATTCATGTAATTCCCTTTAAAACTTTTAAATGTCCTCATTTGAAAACAAAACAGAATTGTATTCATAATCCCACAATAAAGATAGCTACTTTTACGATTACCTTTTTGACCTGTCAATTAAATTGTGATTTATCTCTATTGGGATATTTGTAGATTATGGGAAGCAACCAAGCATTAATAATGACATATTTGTTTGCACTTGGGAAACTATCAACAAACAGTTATTGTACTTGCTAGAACAAATTCTTTTTATTCCTTACTGACAAAAATTTCTAATTCTCATATAGCAGGTTATGCTACTTGATACATTGTAAGTGATGTTTGGTCTGCATGCACTGACCAACCCGATCTTCTGGTTGCCATCCACTTTAACTACCCCTCCCACTCCCCTGGTGACATGTCCAACCTTGGCCTCCTCCACTATCAAAGTGAGGCCAAACGTAAACTGGAGGAACGACACCCCATATTTCACCTTGGCAGCTTACAGCCCAATGGTCTGAATATTGACTTCGCCAGCTTCAAAATCTCTCCACCCGCAACCTGTCCATCTTTCTACTCACCTATCCACTCCACCCTTCCCACCAAGCAACCACAATAACCTCCTATCTGCATCCACCTATCTCCATCTCACCTACTTTATCCCAGCCCCACACCCCTCCCTCTATTTATTTTTGGCTTCCCCACCTTCTGCCCAGTCCTGACAAAGGGTTTCACCCCAAAACATTGGCTTTCCTGCTCCTCTGATGCTGTCTGACCGGTTGTGCTTTTCCAGCTCCACATTTATTGACTATATGATAACAAGGCTTGGTGTGCAGGGATAGGGGCTAGGACATGGAAGAGTTTGAACCCTGAAGTTATTCTACGTGATATTGAGTCCAGAGGACTGCAGGTTCCCCAAAGGAAAATGAGGTGTTGTTCTAAGATAACAAGGTATAGAGCTGGATGAACACAGCAGGCCAAGCAGCATCAGAGGAGCAGGAAAGCTGACGTTTCGGGCCGAGACACTTCTTCAGAAATGGGGGAGGGGAAGGGGGTTCCGAAATAAATAGGGAGAGAGGGGGAGGCGGATAGAAGATGGATAGAGGAGAAGATACGTGGAGAGGAGACAGACAGGTCAAAGAGGTGGGGATGGAGCCAGTAAAGGTGAGTGTAGGTGGGGAGTTAGGGAGGGGATAGGTCAGTCCAGGGAGGACGGACAGGTCAAGGAGTCGGGATGAGGCTAGTAGGTAGGAGATGGGGATGGGGCTTGAGGGACTCAACTCATCCCTCACACCCCCTCCCGGAATAGCAACCAAAACAGAAACGTCAGCTTTCCTGCTCTTCTAATGCTGCTTGGCCTGCTGTGTTCATCCAGCTGTACACCTTGTTATCTCAGATTCTCCAGCATCTGCAGTTCCTACTATCTCTGAGGTGTTGTTCTTCCAGCTTGCTTTGCTGGAGCACTGCTGCAAGCCTGAAACAGAGATACTGGCCAGGGAACAGTGTAGTGTGCTGAAGTGGCAGGAAACTAAAAGCTCCCACAAATAATGGTGCGTTAAATGATTAGATCACCTCTTTTAGTTGGTTGAAGGTTAAGTGTTGAGCATGATGGAAGTCATTTACATGGATTTTTCAAGTTGATATGGTATTTTAATGCTTTTCTTACTGTACCAGTGATCAAGAGGTTCAGACTAATAAAGAGTTCAAATCATGCCATTTCAGATTGAGAATTTGAATTCTGAAATAAGAAGTTGAAGTAATTAACAAGTCATTAGATTTTCGTAAAATTGCAACTGGTCCACTAACATTCTTCAGGAAAGAAAACTTAGCTGTTCCTATCCAGTATTGATGACTTATCATTTACCTCTGAAATGGCCCAGCAAGCCATTCTGTTACCACCATCTCCTCAGGGCAACAAGGGTTAGGTAATTAATGGCAGTCTTGTAAGTTTGACCACAGCCTGAGAATAAATTTTAAAAAACACTTTGCAATGATAAATTTGAAACTTTTATTTTTTTTATAGATCAGGGAACAGAGGAACAATGAGTGAATGGCAATTGGTGTGAGTAAGGATTTTACAGTCCGATGATGGCCATTCAAATCTGCTAGACCCCAAATTGGCAACTAGAATCCATATAGTGCTGGTATAAACATGTCTTTGTGTTTACCACAAGCACCAGTTGACAGCAAGTTCTAGGAGAGTTTTGATACCTCTGATGCTATAAATTTGTAGCAACCCAATACATAACATTGGGAATGTGAATTAATTTTGAAATTTCCCAATTTATTTTACATGTGATACACAAAGCTAACAGAGAATTTGATTTCATTCATTTGATATGAACCATATATAGACAACAATAATTTCAGTTACCTACTTAAAATGTGATTGAAAGAGAATACATGACAAATTATAGTATGTCATAATTATAATTTTAACTGTCCTAATGTCAGTGAGATATAAATTTCATTTCTCGCCATGTATACACTATAT